CTTGATGTCCGGATCTTCCTGCTGTGCATGTAGTAAGCTGTCCTTCCACTCGTTGCTGAGGTGGTCTGCCCTGAGCATCCTCACGGATACCACCTCCTTACTCTCTTGCCTACTACAATGGTTGCAATCTTCAGGACAAGCTCTTCTTGACAATGCATCTGCGTTGCCGTGAGATTTCCCGCTGCAGTGTCTGATAGTAAAGTCGTATTCCTGCTGCTGCTGGGCGGTGCTGTTAGCCGCACTTCCTTTCTGAGGCCGTTCACCTTCCCTTCGTAGGGTGTGCTCAGGGTAGCTGGACCGAAGATGGCCCCTTTCCCCACAGCCATAGCACCTAGGGCTGTATCTTTTATTGTGGTCGCGAACCGTAACTGCTGTAACCTCCCTAGCGTGAGGTGAACGATGATCCTGTCGCCGCCAGGCAGTGTCGTTAGCTGCACTACCCTCTCGAGATCGATCAACTCTCCTTTCAACGGTTCGCTTAGGGCAGCTGATTCGAAGATGGCCCTTTTCCCCACAGCCATAGCACCTTGGGCTGTATCCTTTGTTGCGGTCGCGAACTGTAGCGGCTGCAACCTCCCTGACGCGATGGGAACGATGATCCTGCCGCACGGCTTCTACCTCCAGTGCATGGGCCAAGGCGTCCTTAAGCGTCTCGTGGTGCCCGAGCCTCACAGCAGCTCTGACTTCCAGGTCACGGATGCCGTCGATAAATGTCTGCACCAGGTTCCCTTTAATGAGCGCAGGTACAGACCGGTAAGCTTTTCGCACCAGCTTCTCCACCTCTAGAGCCCACTGCTGCAGGTTTTCGTTGATGCGCTGCACACGATCTTTAAGCTGCGCACGAAAGACGTGTTCCAGGTGAGCGTCGCCATACCTCGCCTCCAATGCCTCAATGAGTTGCTCATAAGTCACTTCCTCACCGAGAGCTTCCAGAACTGTTAAGGCCTGGTCGCGCAGGCCTAGTGTGAGAGCAGTCATGGCCTGACTTTTATTCCAGCCGTTCGCCTTCATAACAGCCTCGAACTGGATTTTGTAGGCTGACCAGGAAGAAGTCCCGTCGAACGGTGGCACTTTGAACCCACGTAGCGAAGGTGTAGTAGCTACTACGGGAGCTGTAGTTCCATCACCCAGTTTGAGTTCGTCCAGTGATTTCTTCATGTCAGACATTACGTTGTCAACCCTATTGTTCACTTGGTCGATAAGGGTTTCAGCTTCCGACAGGCGGTTTTCATGTTGAGCAACCTTATCCTTCACCTCCCTTATCTCTTTCCCGAAGGTAGCGTGAATGTCCTTCATGAGGAGCATCTGCTCTTCCTTATCGCGCTTGAGCTGCTCTTCCAACCGACGGGCCTGTTCCTCCTGTCGGCGAGCCTGTTCCTCCTGTCGGCGAGCCTGTTCCTCCTGCTGCTCTTTCAACTGACTGGCCTGTTCCTCCTGTCCGCGCTTCAGCTGCTCTTCGAACCGACGAGCCTGTTCCTGCAGCATCACCATCAGAGCACCTAAGTCAGGTGCTGCAGATGTAGGAGCTACTGACGGGCCTGCAGCTGGCGGCTGGCCCTCCGACGTCTGCGGCGTCGCACCACCAAATCTTCGTTGGTCCGTCTCCTGCTGGCGTTGACTTCGGGTACGGACACCCTCCGTTTCCTCCTTAGGTAAAATCGGCATGATTTTATCCCACTTCTGACACCAATTGTTACGAGCTTGAGGTTCGTGACAATAAAAATTGCCGATAAAATTACCTAAATTAACACTTTAATTTACTTTACACAATTAAAGTTAAAACACTAATAATTTAAACACACTAATTCACTTAATTCCACTCCGAAGCTTCGCTTGTTTCGCCCAAATCAACACTAACTCCATCGCATCTTGCAGCGCCTATATATTTAAATTAGCAAAGAAATATCCAGAATGTTCAAGTAAACACGCGGAAGGTATCGAGCGTTCGAGTTTCGACTAGGCGCTGTCAGTTGAGCGATTTGTGATGTCATTTTCTCAATGCTCCCCTCGCTCTCGTTCCTGACACTAGATGGCGCTAGTTGACTTATTCATGCAACAATACGTTGTGGTGGGATGATGAGGTACGGGTCGAAGTTGAAGCAAAGAAGAAGGCATGGTTAGATTTGCTAGCATAAAAGCTGGTAATTCTGGCGGTATGAATGATGAGTTTGAAAGAAAAAAAAAGGCTGAATTTAGACGTCTAAATATGAGAGTAAAAGAAGTAGTTTAAAGGAAAAAGCAAGAAAGAACGGATAAGAATAATAGAAAGATATCTGATAATTTCCAGGCTAATATAAAATGTTATGGAAACTCGTAAGAACTGCCAGGGGAAATACAAAACAGAGACAAAAACGGATGTATTCTGAGTGACGAAGTTTCGAATTTAAAGAGATGGAAGGAATACTTTGAAAACGTGTTTATAAGTGAAGAGTCGTCTGAATTAAATGAATTAGAAATTCCGATAGAAGTGGAAAGGGGTATGTAGATAAGTGTGGATAATGAAAGCAATGAAAATCATGAAAGCAGGTAAGGCAGCTGGATATCATAGAGTATCCCTCGAGGTGTTAAGGGCTGGAGAGGGAGTAGCAGCAGGCCTGCTCTACACCTTGTTTATTTTATGTTGGGAATTGAAACGGATACCGGAAAACTGATTTAAAGCAGTTATAGTACCAATATATAAAGAAAAAGGGTCATAGCAGAACTGCAAAAACTACCGAGGTAACAGCTTGCTTAGTATTGTGGATAAACTGTATGGTAAGGTGTTAATTGAAATAGTTATGAAAGAAATTGATGGAAAATTTTGGGGTGAGTAAGCGGGATTTAGAAAAAGAACGGGATGAACAGATCAAGTATTTTTCATGTGCATGATTGCGAAGAAGTTTTTGGCTAAAAATCAGAAAGTTTTTTGTGCGTTCATGGACTTGTAAAAGGCTTATAACAGAGTGCACAAGTCTGTGTTATGGCAAACACTGAAAACACTTGGGTTGAGAGCTGGTTTGATACAGGCATTAAAGTCTCTTTATAGGTACTCTAGTGCTTGTATCGGGATCAACGGGGTCTACTCTGACTGGTTTGGTATCCAAAAAGGTGTCAGACATGGCTGTGTTTCTTCCCCGTAGCAGTTTAACCTATTTATGGACAGTTGTTTGCAAACTTTAAAAAATAAAGAATGTGGGTTAAGAATGGGCGAGTTAACCGTCAAATGCCTTTTGTACGCCGATGATCAAGTTAAGGATGTAAAGGAGGCGAAAGAGGTATGTTCGGATTCTGCCAAATGAAAGTCCATAGTCTCTGCCTACCCGTCCGGGTGACAGGCGTGAGTGTTTATGTTTTTATGTTGTTATGTAGAAAGTGGTAAAATTATAAAAAAAGAAATTAAATAATTTTATATTTATTTCGACACTTTGTTTTTCTCGATTAAAATAATCTTGAAGACGAATGACTAACGCCCCCGCTTGACTCTCTTTAACAATTTTTTGTTCAATTTGGAATTTTAAATAGACAAGCTAAACAAAGAGCAAACATTTATTTAACAAAACGGAATATAAACTCAATCATCGGAAGTATAAGAAATATAAGTTCAACTGGGAATCAGAAACCGGCCGATAGGTATTTAGCACACAAAACAAAGTGCTAGGCACGAGCATAGATTATACACATTTTGCAGGGGTCTGGTGACACGTCACGATTCTGTCGAAGTCTGTACTTCGATTGATAATTATGAGAGCAAAAATAAATATATGCGTATAAGTAAGCTGTTACTGTAGCTACATTTAAATATTTAATCCTTGACTTTTCATATTTACTTGCTAAATAATCAACATCAAAATTTTTAACTTTACGCGTATTGTGTTGTCAAGATACGGATATATCATTCACGCTGTTTCGTTTTTTCTCTCGCCGAGTTATGCAGCCGGCCTCAGAATACTATACATGTCGCCCGCCACACTATGGATCGACGTCGTCCATTCGACCATTATTTATTATTTAATTTTTTTACTATTAATGAGTGCAATTTCTAACTTACATGCCGCGGTTTAGATAAATACATTTAATAAAATTGAAAAGTTTTGTGAGTTAGTTCTTCGACTAGTCAATTTCTTCAAGCAGTTGTAGGTACTGTTGTGTTCATTAAATAAACTGATATTATTTATGTGTGCGATACAAGCGTTTTATCTGAGCATTTGAGATCATAATTTGATTATGAATGAATGTGTGCTTTTTTGTATGATGCCATTTTCGAGGGTTTTTGAAGTGCATGCGTCATTAAAATGAGTCATTCAGAAAATTCAGTCTGCAATGATAACTAATTGTTCAACAAGTTCTGATTTGCTAAAAAATAAAACGCGCAGTGACGAGTTGCATTTTTTTTGAAGTTTGTATGATAAACTATTCGTTCATTAGCTCAGTCCCAAATATAATTACAAAAAAATCGCGGTCAAAATGGCTACAAAAACCTGATTTAATTTTTTTATTAGAATTTCCATCTTGATATTTGACCTAATGGACCGTGCTATAACGCAAATACTATAGACTCCCAAGTGGTTAGACCGGAACATACTACAAGCCGCCACCAGCGTCGCGTTACGTCCAGGAAACGTCGAAGACGTTCATCGGATCCGGAATGGGAAGCTAATTGGTTTTGAATTTCAAATTTTGAGTCTAAACGGGAGAGGTTCATGTCGAGCTATGAAGGAGATGATTCTAAAATCGTATTCTATAGTCTCACAATTTATTTTTACTATTTAAAAATATAAAAATAGTTGTTTATTTGAGTACAAGATACCACGATACGATACGATCATTTACTGCTAACTCCATACAATTTCATTAGACGTTTTCTTTTAACTCGTACGTAATTAACGCTCATGAGAGTTAATTACGTACGCTATTGGTTTTGGTGCAAATATTCTGTGTAATATTGGATACAATCAAACGGTTTTCTAGATTTACGCACTGTTTATCGTTTAAATTTCATAAGAAAAGCAAGCGGTACTGACCTTTCAGTTGTAAGCAATATGCATCCAAATATAGCACTCGCCCAAATGTATATATAATAAGAATGTTCTGATGATTCCTCCCCTACATTAATATTCTGTATAGTTAGTGCTGCTTTAACCATTGTGCCTATGACGGTAAGGTTTGGATTCATTGTCGTTGGTGAAGTTGGGTCAGTGGCTGCATCATCCAGCATTAGTGGTTCCGTTGTCTCGTTGAATACGTTTGTCTCGTTGTTGGTGCTCGTGTAATTTGCGTTGAATTTCTCGTCTTCGAATCGTAAGTGTTTCGCTTCGACGTCGTTCATCCTAGTTAGCATTTAATTTAATTAAATAATAGTTATCATTAAACCAATACCATATTATATACATACTATATTTTTACAAAATCAATTATGTAAATGGAATACACATGTAAGAAAGTATCGCGATAATAGCCTAAGTCGTATCGGTCCGGAAAATAACCGGCGGTAAACAATTCCACAAAGTAGTCATGCGAAGAAGAAACTCCTAGTAAATCAATCACTATAATTTATCGAAACATTCCCCGCAGTAAATTCGATAGAAAATGCAACCCTTTGAATTTTCTATGATGCCGCATCCTTATGCAACATCTCTTCGCAGTGCCAGTGAATCGAGCCGATCGGAGATAACTCGGTCATCGCAGATTCCAGCAGCTGTGATAGACTACTCCTAGACCTCTAGACTTTGAAGATTACCAATTACCTGTCTTTTTTCCTGCAAAACAGCATTATATACTGACCTTAATTATACATTGACCAAAAATATTGTGTTTTGGGGGGTTAAAATTTTTCAATTTAGGTTATTTATTATTTTTCCTAAAACATTTATGGGTTGATCTCTCGCCCGGTCCTTTTGACGTTGAGTTTTAGGACAACCGATATAATTATAGATGTAATTAATCCTCTCAATGCCCTAGCGGTCTCATGAGACCACACCCACCCACAGCACTTTAACCCATAAAAACTTATATAGATACTACTTTTCTATGAATAACTTTGGCATTATAGAACCAATATGAAATTTTCTATCTCCTAGTTCAATAAAAAACAGCTATCCTATGGATATTTATTCATACGTTCATTTCGTACGCCATTTTCGCGTGAATGTTATTGTGTTGATTTTTGGATTTTTTTCTAGTGTTTTAATAGTGTTTTATTATAAAATAGTAATAAAAGTTTTGTATGAATATAATTTATCTTTTTACGTAAATAATTTCGAGTAATATATATTGAAATAATTGTGATTTTCACGCTGCCAACATTCGCTTGGTGTGTTTTTTTTGTTATCAAAATACAATAAAATCTTTTTGTAATGAACTGAAACCTGACTTTTGTTTAGACCACAGGAAAGAGAATTTTGTATAGATTTTATTATATAACTTCTTCACAGAAAAGTAGTCTCTAAATGTAAGTATTAATGGTTTAAGTGCGGTGGATGGGTGCGATCGCATGCAACCGCTCGGGATTTTCCGGGCGCTTGCGACTGCATGGGATTTTTATTGCGATTGAAGGGTTAAATGAGCTTTGGTGTACTGAAATTTTGGAATTATTGGATATACTTATATCAACGGGTAGAATGATTACTTTAATTATTAAAAATATTTTACTTATACAATACATGATATAAGTTCATTATTCTCCCAACTATTGGGTATTTTTACAAGAGAACATTTATTTACGATTTTTGTATATAGGAAGAGAGACTATGATATCAAATCAAAACAATTACAATAAATTAAAAGTAGAATATTACCAATGCATGAGCCAGAGGTCGCTGATGGAGGTTACAGCCTGTGCCAGTAAAATAGACACGAGCATGAGAGTCAGCAGCGCCCAGCCGCCGCCCGCGCGGAAGTACTTCACGTACACGGACCCGGACACGCGCCCTGCATTACAACGTACATTATCATTCTGGGTTACAAAAATTCCGTCAAAACCGCTGCCATTGTGTTGAGGCGACGTAAGAGAATCAATAACCACATTACATCCCATGGCCTTAAAGGAACTACTGTAAATATGTCGCAATGAGTATAAACAGGATGGACATAAGCCTCCTAAACTAAGAGATGTTATCAGTATCCGATTGACCGATTGCAATCTTGCAAGTTCACATCAGCTCATACAATCCGTACGGATAAAGAATAGGGTTAGAAATGGCGGCTCATCGAGCCCGTACCGTAAACACAATAGTGAACAAAAGTGAACCCGCTAATAATGGTATATTATTTGGTTATTTGGAAATTTTATATTAATAGGGAAAATTATTTGAGAAGAATTGTATACCCAAGTAGGTATACAAGTTTTTAAATAAAATTTATAACTAGCAATCCGCTCTGGCTTCTCCTGGATCTAATAATGTAGCGTAATTTCGACTTAAGATAATCATTAAAGACCTTTTATTTTATCTTACCAATATCTTTATTTTAATAAAATATCTAAATTTTTCGGATAAAATTTTGTCTAGATCATTCCTGGTATAACTCTCTATTTATTTGTGAAGTTTATTACAATTATTTCAGCCATGCCATGACTCAGATGAGCTCGGACAGAGAGACAAACGAAAGTTTTAAAAATGGTTACTCATATCTCAATGACATTTAAATATTTTACACTAAAATATCAACAAACAAAATCGATAATAATTATTAAAAAACTGTCATGAAGATCTAGAGTGCCAACCTCAAGTTGAGTCCGAAGAAAAGTTCAATATTCAAACGGCAAGTTAGTTTTTTAGGGTATGTAGTGTCGGAAGAAGGTACCCGCACGGATCCAGCCGACCGCCGTTGTAAAGGATTGGCCAGTACCAAAAGACAAAACGCATATTAGAGCATTTTTGGCATTGTTCTCCTACTATCGGCGATTTGTAAAGAACTTTTCAGATTTAGCCAAACCTCTGCACAAGCTAACCGAGGAGAAGCGAAAATTCTGCTGTGATGAAAGTTGCGATATCGTATTCCAGGAGCTCAAGGACCGTCTGTGCAAAACATCAATTTTGGGGTACCCCGATGCGGGCAAGGAATTTATAGTTGACACAGATGCAAGTGATATAGGGCTTGACGGTGTGTTGTCTCAACGGAATGGTGATCAAGAGGTTGTGATAGTGAACTTACGCAAGTCGTAGTCAAAGCCGGAGAGGAACTATTGTGTCATAAGACGGGAATTGCTTGCTGTGGTAAAGTCATTGCAGCATTTTAGCAAATATCTTCTGGGGCGGAAATTTCACTAACGAACTGACCATGCTGCACTGAAATAGCTATTGTAGTTTGTTGTATATGTGCGCGCGTGCTGCGTCCGCACTTAAAAATAATGCTTGCAATTAAAGCAGTACGTTGACAGTCCACAAGTGTTTCACTTGTCTCCTGCGCTCCGTATCTATATATTATATAACTAAACATTGACGACGAGTTCTTACCCGCATTTTTAATTTAAAAAGTAATGTCGTTTAGCTGTGGTCCCCTTCCAACTTTTAACCACGATTTGTAATCATGAAAGATATTTAGAACCAGAATCGAGCAATGACCACTGCAACGAACCAGAATTGCAAACGACATAAATTTCTCAAATGATGCCGCTGGAGTAAAACGGCGAGCCATTCTTCTCAGCGCATTCGCCGACGGTACGTCCAAGCTTGCCTCAGATCTCGCTGTACCAAAGGATCTCCAGCAAATCTCGTTTAAGGATATTCTAACCATCTCGGGTACTCATTTCACACTACCCAACAGCCCGCCGAGTTACCGTGGCAGTGGGCCGCTAGATTGCGCGGTCTACCCGCTCACTGCCAATTCTCCAATGTGGAAAGCACTAAGGAATCGATTTACTATGGGGATGCTGCCAAGAGTGGAAAAAGATAAATTATACACGCAGGATTTTTTCGGTTATCACACTAGCAATAGCTGAGAACATAAGAAGTGCGCGGGCGGTAGCCGCCAGCGCCGCCACCACCACTACCGTCGTCACCGATGCCACCACGGACCAGAACCACTCAATGTAGGGTACATCGTCCTGTTAATTATTCGGAATATGTATCCCGAATCGTACGTGTATTAAAACGCGATGAGTCTCTCAGAATATGTGCAGATTATTCTGTTTGTAAATAAACAGTTGGTTATGGACCAATACCTGTTGGGGACGGTTAATGAACTTTTTTCTAAGTTACACGAGGGCCAATAATGTACTAAGCTTGACCTCTCAATGGCGTATAATCTATTTTGTCTGAATAACACAAAATAATCACAAAAGCTACCTGTATCGATACCCATCGAGGTTTAATTTCCTATACACGTTAAGTTTTCGGCCTGACTAGTGCGCCGGCTATTTTTCAGCGTGCAATGGAATATGTGCTAGCAGGATTAAGTGGAGTAGTTTTTTACTTGACGCTGTACTAATAACCAGCCGAGACGATGCCGAGCACCTAGACTGGCTACACCAGGTGCTACAAAGATTACAAGATGCGGGCTTAACTTTGCAAAAAAATAAGTGCAGTTTTTTCAAAGACGAAATAAGTTACCTGGAATATGTTATAAATAAATATGATTTAAAAAAGTCACCGGAAAAGGTTAAAGCTTTATTAGAAGTGCCAATCTCCACAAATGTTAACCAGTTACAATTGTTTTTAGGCCTCGTCAATTATTACAGGTTTTTCGTTCCAAACAAGCAAGTAATAGACAAGCTGAAAGCTACGTGAAGGTAATTAAAAGGGGTATCAAGTCTAGTTTGTTAAGCAGCAATAATTTAAATCGCTTAAAAATACATTTTCGATTACCGCAATTCGGTCCATTCCACGACGGGTTTATCTCTTGCACAAATAGTTTTTGATCGCAAATTAAGATCGCGGTTAGATATATTAAAGCCAGTATTATCGCCACCCCTGTTTTCCTCCCTCGCTAAAGCAGTTCGATCAAAACAGTGTTTACAGGTTAAATCGCACGGTGGGAATTAAAAATGTTTTTACCCGGACAAAATATTTTTCTATAAAAATATGAATGAATGATTATACTTTTATTGTACACCACAAACAAATATACAGAAAACAAAACAAAAAACAGATTATAATATTATGTACGTACAATTTGGCGGCCCTATCGCTACATAGCGATCTCTTCCAGGCAACCAAAGGTGTGGACTAGAATAGTGAAAACTAGGTAGGTGGTGCAATATAAATATACATAGTATAATATTAATACACGCGAATTATAGACAATACATGCAATAAAATAAAATAACTAATACACGAAATTATATAAATTGCTAAAATATAATAAAAATAAAGTAATACATATATATATACTTCCTTTTTTAATAAATCTTTTATTGTCCAGTCTATCAAGCTCTGGAGTGTCCTACCGTTGCGTATACGAATTTTGTTATATATATACAATTGTTTTTAGACTCCAGAGCACTCCAGAGCTTGATAGACTGGACAGTAAAAGATTTATTAAAAAAGGAAGTATTGTGAGTTAGTACCCTTAAAACGAATTTTCTTGAAGAGCATTGAGGTTCTCCTGGAAGCCCTACAAAATTAAACGTCTCCTTTAGATAGGGTGGTGTAGAAGGGTGAAATAATACACAGTACAGAATAAAAAGAATATGCATATTCCGGCGAAGTCGGATATGTAACCACTTGAGACATGAGCAAAACTGGGAAATATGGTCAAATTTGCGCAATCCAAATATGAGCCGAATACTAGTGTTTTGAAGTCTCTCATGCTTATTTAGCTGGTCCTCAGTTATGTCTTCATAGCTTGCGTCGGCATAGCCGAGAATCGGAAGGAGAAGAGACTGTTCAAGTATAATTTTGATAGGAATGGGAAGAAATGATCAAAGGAGACGCAGAGAACACAGAGGGACAAAGGTTTTCTTACTTACCTCATTCAGTTGGCGTATCCAATTCAAGGAGTTATCGAAATAAATACCAAGATTTTTGACATTGTCAAAGTAAGGGATTACAATTCCATCGAATTCGATAGGTGGTACGGAGAACCAGTCAATTCTTGAGATAAAGCTCCGGCTACCAATAATAATGGCCTATGATTTTTTGGGATTGACATTTAGGCCGTATGACTTACTCCACTCGTGAATAATATTTAAGTCGTTATTCAATATAGCTATTGCATTCGGCAAATTCTCAAGAGTTGACTGGGTTTAAATCTGAACTTCATCCGCATACATGTGGTAGAGAGAAGATATTTTATGAGGGATTGAATTAATGAAAATGGAAAAGAGTAAAGGTGACAACACTCCGCCATGCGGCACGCCTGCAGTAATATCACAACAAGATGAGTGAGTTTCATCAACACGAATACACTGCCGACGGCCACAGAGATAACTTTGAAACCAGTCAATTACTGATGGAGATATGTTAAGGGAACACATTAGACTCAACAGTATATCGAAATAAACAGTATTGAACGCATTACTGAAATCCAGCAAGATCATGACTGTGAGTTGTTTATTGTCCATACCCCACCGTATGTCATCAGTAACTTTGATTAAAGCAGTAGCCGTACTATGACCAGGACGGAAACCGGATTGTAAAGGATTCAACAAATTGTGCTTATTAAGGAAAAGGGTCAGCTGTTGGCAAATAAGTCTTTCAAGGACTTTAGAAAGGAAAGGTAAGATTGAAATGGGACAGAAATCAGAAAGGTTGACGGGATTGGATCTCTTCGGAAGGGGTATAACATGTGCACACTTCCAGGCTTGAGGGAATTTAGACGAAGAGACACATGCATTAAGTAAATAAGTAATAATAGGAGCGATAACATCAAGGAGAGGAATAATCATATTACGGCCAATGTTGTCGCTACCGACAGCATTTGAGGAGATGGATAATATGATCTTCTTAACATCACATACAGTAGTAAACTGACTAAAAACGAACGGAGGA